TGCAGGGAAGCTCGGGGGCTTCCCCTGGGAGGTTTCCCGAGGGTTGAGGTGGGCACTGCCCATCCCAGGGCCTGGAGCTCATCCCAGCACTTAACCTAGCTGGAGCAAGGAATTGTGAGCCAATTGTTCTGATTTTTAAAAGTGTTAAGGGTTTTTTTTTGGTTTTTTTTTTTAAGTTTTAAAGTTCTTTCCAAAGTTTTTTATGCTTTTTGATGTTTACGTATCCCTGCTGGAGTTTTCACGCCCTGTTCATGTAAAGAACGATTGTTTTGTGTTCTTTTTTTCGTGGGAGGAGAGAATTGATGGGCTGTTGCTTTGACCAGTGTGGTCGGAGAGGTGAGAATTCCATCCCCCAATCCACCGCCACTTTTGGGATTCTATCCATTGCAAAGTCAGAAATAAAATCAGCTATTTTTGATCTCTTTTGATCTTACCAAGCTTCTGTGTGCTCCTTTCATGTCCAGTGGTGACAACACAGAACCCCTCAGGCTGCTCCCAACAAACCCAGGAGCTCGGAGACCTTTTTGGGATGGTTTTTTTTGGGATGGTTTTTTTTGGGATGGTTTTCTTTGGGATGGTTTATTTGGGATGGTTTATTTGGGATTTTTTTGGGGGGTTGGTTTATTTGGGATTTTTTTTTTGAATGGTTTATTTGGGATGGTTCATTTGGGATGGGTTTTTTTGGGATGGTTTATTTGGGATTTTTTTTGGGATGGTTTATTTGGGATGGTTCATTTGGGATGGGTTTTTTTGGGATGGTTCATTTGGGATGGTTCATTTGGGATGGGTTTTTTTGGGATGGCTCATTTGGGATGGTTTATTTGGGATGTTTTTTTTTGGGATGGTTTATTTGGGATGGTTTATTTGGGATGGTTTATTTGGGATTTTTATTTGCACACACAGACGTCGCTATAGGACACGTGAAAGCACGACGTGAGCCATCTGCTATTTGCAAGGCAAAGAAGAAAGTTTAATATCTGACTCCGACTTTTATATTTTCTCAAAGGTGACATTGGATTGGAGAGTGAAGGGGCCACCTCTCCAAAGACATTGGACAAATTACTAGCACATCAAGTTTTCTCCACCCCCATAAAAGAATGTAAACAACACGTTGCTTACAGAAATTTTGTGGGAAAGTTCTCCAAAAGAATGTAAACTCAGAAGGCTTTAGAAAATCTTAAGACTCAGGGTGACACCCAGATCCTGAGGGATGGGGTTGGAGAGGAGCGGGAAGATCCCTGGGAATGCCGTGGCGCTTCATGGGCTGGGAGAGGGGCTGGAATTCTCTTCCTCTAGGCCGACGGGGCGAAGCCCACGCGGCTGTTGGCCATGTCGAAGGCGGTGTAATATTCCTGGAGGAAAACGTTGCCCAGGATCCAGAGGGGCTGCCCGTCCTGGGAGGGCAGGTAGGTGCCCTCGATGGCCAGGGTGCAGTAGCCATTGCTCTGGGGGGGGAGAACCGGGGCTCAGCACGGCTGCCGGCCACGGAGCTCCGGGCTCTTCCCGGGAATGCCTCGGGAATGCTCGGGATCTTCCCGGTGCCTTGGGATCTTCCCGGTGCTTTGGGAATGCTCGGGATCTTCCCGGTGCCTTGGGATCTTCCCGGTGCTTTGGGAATGCTTGGGATGTTCCCAGTGCCTCAGGAACTCTCGGGATGTTCCCGGTGCCTCAGGAACCCTCAGGATGTTCCCAGTGCCTTGGGAATTCTTGGGATGTTCCCAGTGTCTCAGGAACT